TTTCTCTTATAAAAATATACTGCATTTTGCAGAATCAATGAGACTACATATTGTTGAATATAAGTTTGAGTAGATGCATCTGTCAGACATTTTGAATATTTTTAATGCTTGTCCATGTTTAAAAATGCAAAGTTATTTAATACTTTCTATCAAATTTAACAACTTTTAAGTCAAAGGTCATTCAGTGACAAATAGTCACTTCTAATTGCTATACTAAATAAAATGTAACAGTTCAGTTTGGAACTGAAAAAAAGCACTTTTTCTTCAGAGAGAAGTCTGTCATGGTTTAACCCCAGCCAGCAACTAAGCACCACGCAGCCACTCACTCACTCCTCCCCCATCCAGTGGGATGGGGGAGAAAATCAGGAAAAGAAATAAAACTCCTGGGTTGAGATAAGAACGGTTTAATAGAACAGAAAAGAAGAAACTAATGATGATAATGATAACACTAATAAAATGACAACAGTAGTTATGAAAGGATTGGAATGTACAAATGATGCGCAGGGCAATTGCTCACCACCCGACGACTGACACCCCGCCAGTCCCCAAGCGGCGATTCTCTGCCCCCCCCTTCCCAGTTCCTAAACTAGATGGGATGTCACATGGTATGGAATACACCGTTGGCCAGTTTGGGTCAGGTGCCCTGGTTGTGTCCTGTGCCAACTTCTTGTGCCCTGGCTGGGCATGAGAAGCTGAAAAATCCTTGACTATAGTCTAAACACTACTGAGCAACAACTGAAAACATCAGTGTTATCAACATTCTTCACATACTGAACTCAAAACATAGCACTGTACCAGCTACTAGGAAGACAGTTAACTCTATCCCAGCTGAAACCAGGACAAAGTCCTGCTACAGTAAAATGTTCTACAATGTGATAGTTCTGTACTTTTGCCATTTTTTCTGAATACATACCTTTATTGAGGCACCGAATCTGCTTTAAGAAAAAGTGAACCCAATATATTTTGCAAAGAAACAGTGTTTACATCTCAACAATATGCTATGAAAGCATGCAGCAAAATGATCTTTTCTTCAACTAAACATTTGCATTAATGTATGGTGAGATAAACATTTTTTCCTTAACTACATTAAAGAAGTCAAGAATACAGTCTCCAAAAACTTGCATAGGAAATACATGTTTTGTAATTATGAGAGTACATATAGCTTGTACATTTTTCAACTTACTGTAACTCATTTATTCAGCATTTTGCTACAGAAAAGTAAAATATAAGTGAAAGATTTTTTTAATTCTTTTTTTTTTCCTACTGGTAGGGGGTCTCTGTCCTTTATTGAGGAAATAAATTTATTTTACAGAAAGGCAAGTAAAAATGCATCTCAGTACACTGCAGTGTAATAAAAGTACTTAATTATTACTATTATTTTATGCATAATTATTCATAGTTACGTATTTAGAATCATTATTGGAAAACAGTGGATTGAAAAGAGAATAATGTAGATAGTAAAATACCTAACAAGATCAGAGAAAATACTTAGATGTATGTCTGGGTTTTATGCTAAGATTCAACAATAAGTAAGCATCAAGATACAACTCGAAAAATCCACTATCAACTCATTTAGTGATGTGTGATTCTGAATAAGATTTCATGTATTTCATTAGAAAATGCATTTATAACTTGGGAACTTTAACTGAGACCTGTTGCTCTGAGTGAACATTTTCACAGATATTACTAATTTAGATTTTTCTTCTAGTGCACAATATATTTTCTGAATATCTCTACTCTGGTCATTTTGGTGTTTAAATGAACACACACTTGCATGCGTTCATGCATTCGTGCAAATATGTACGAAATAATTTTAAGACAAATCCAAAATTCTACAGCTTGATTTGAGACAAAAAGAAAGAGCATACCTTTTCTGGGTCAGTTGTTGTAATGACCCACACGCAGTGTGCGTTGTCTTCATATTGAACTGGATAATTTGGTGATGTAATAATCCCACTTGGTCCACGTAAATTAGAGCCACATGTTCTTGCTAAAATGATAAACAACAAATCAGACTGCTTCTGATCAGTTGCTCTGTTTAAAATATATATTATAAAATTGCCATAGCATTAATAACAACTTGCCATGAAAGTATTATTATGCTGATATATTCTATAACAATTTGCCTTTGAAGATGTTTGAGCAAGTCAAAGAAATCCTGAAAAATTTCTCACAGAGGAAGGAAACCAGCACTTTCCAATTAATCAGCCCAACATTTACATTGCTTTATTCTTACTTTATGTAAATTAATTTCTCAGAATTATCATATCAATATTCTGTTTAGAGAGAGATTTACCCTCTTCAGGTAGGGGGAGAGAGCCTTCTATGTATGAATGTAAGAAGGGCCAGTATGGGCTCTCCTTCATGATTTCTCCATGGTTGGGGAGAAATAGACAGATGTATCCCATTATTTAACTCTATGTAACAGTATATCCTTAACTTAAACTTGGACTTCTGTTGTGTCTTAGCTTTTTACAGCAGAGGAAATAAAATTAGAAAGAAAAAAATATAAAATGGTTCTAGGCAGTAGCCTGACTTCTGTAAAGCACAGATTCAGTTGTGAAACCATCACAATCCCTCTGTTGCATTCAGCAAATCTGGACAGTTAACATTTTGAAAATAAATTACTTTACGAATTAAGTTATTTTCCAAACAGTATTAGGAATAATTTTCTAAAATATTCAAACTTCTCAAAATATTTCAGTATCTCAAAGTATTTAAAAAAAATATGTAGACATATAATTTTCAGTGACATGAAATGGAGTTATAGAACTCAGAACATTTCAAAATTCCACTTTCAGGTCTATGGTATACAGCACTTTGGCAACATGCTAAAATAGAGAGTCTAGATCATACCGTTTCTAAGTAGATACTGTATATCTTCAAATATCTGAATCTCAGAACCTATCTGCATAACTTCCATTAACTTCTGGTGTAATTTAGACTCTTCAGTTACTAAAGGTTTCAGTACAGGCAAGAGGAATGACTACATTCCTTAAAAACTTGGTCATTCCTTTTCTGAATATTAGAATAAAGTACTTTGGAAAATTTTAGGTTTTTTTCTTTCTCTGTGGCTGCCTCCATTCTGAAGAATGAAATATGAGCATTTCTTTACCACACGAACTTGCTGGGAGGAAGCCTGCTCTTCTCCATTAATAGAAGTGTGACTTGTATAAATAGGGAAAAAGGAAACTAGAGGAAAACTGGTTTCAGATTTTCTATTCTTCCATCACAATCTGCTACCAGCAGTTGGTCCTTTGTTACTATATTAGAGACTAGACTTTGAGAAGTAACTATAACTCTGTGTCTAGATTGAGTCACCTAGGACTCAGTTTTCCATGAAAATGTCTATCTGTGTTTATGATAGAAACCGTCTTAATGCACTTCCATGAATTTCACTTAAATCTCAGACATATCACATGGAAATCTTCCATAACTATCTCAGTAGAAACCAAAAAACTCCCTCATGCACATAGGTAATTCTACCAAAGCATCACTGACAATTATTAACAAGCTGTCTGTGCTTAACATGGAAAAAAAAGAACTAATCACATTTAAGCATGCCACTGCACGCTGCCTACTAGCAATACAGAAAGCTTAGCATATTGCTGCTGTATCAAGAAAAATATATTCTTTTAATTGCTAGAACAACAAAAGCACATTCATAGGACATTTTCATTCTAATAACTGGTAGAAGCACCATATGTCCAGCACCACAACTAGCAGACAATTAATGTATATTTATTTGTTTTCAATTCATCCTGCGTAAGGTCTGCTACAGTAGGAACTAATCCAGAGGTACAACTTTGTAGCAATAAGCTTTTGAATAGAGTTTGTACTGTCTCTAGCTATCCACAAAGAAGAAAGTCTAGGAAACATCTCCCTTCCAGATCTTTTTTTCAGTCAAGCTTTCTCCTATTTGAACTTTGAGGGAAAGGAAAAAAAAAAAAAAAAGGAAGGGAAAAAAAAAAAGCCAAGGAAGAGCTATAATTGAAGTTCTGCCCAAAGGTCTGCTTAGGAAATGGAGTTACTGCAAAACATTGCACAAAAATTGTTAGAAAGCTTGTGATATCACTTACAGAAACCAAGAATGAATTGCTGTAAGGTTATTAGGACCATTCAGTTCCTGAGGGCACTAACAGGCCTCAACTGCCCTGACCAGCCTCAGCTGGGGCCTTCCACTACTCCTTTCCTGTGGACCCAGGGAATCTATTTCAGGGTGGGGTTGGACTAGTAGTCTTTATCTGAGCAACGTCTCCGGAGCAGCTGTCTGCAGTTCCACCACAGCCACACCTGTGCCTGCTCACAGGCTTTATTGAACCTGACCCCTCTCCAGACTCTGACGTCTCGGCCCAGCCATGGCTCGTCCCCCTCCCCAAGGAGGTGCCGATGACCAAGGCTGGGGCTGTCCCTGGTCTGCCCTGCTGCCCACCTGGGGCGGCGGGATGGGCCCTGGCATTGAGGCCTGGCCCTGCACTGCCGCCTCAGGGAGACCCCCCCCTGCTCCCGTGTGCCCAGGGGGTCACCAGCCCCTTGCAAGTAAGGTAAGGGATTTGCCAACAGCAAGATGGTTCCTGGGAGTATTCATCAGCTTCATAAATTCTGAACTCTGCTTGTCACCGTTCTGGGGTAAATGTAAAGTTCAGCTTCTTCAGTAAGTCTCATAGGCTTGAAGTCATTAAGCCCACAGTAGCTACATGTAGCTTATCAGCTTTTCTACTTTAAGTGGATAATCGCTTAGAAAATGTGATAAGCAGTTCTTTGCATTGTGTACTTTGTCATCAAATGCTTGGTATGAGCACCATGAATACTGACATCTTGAAGGTCAGTAAAGGGTTTGGGAATAATACGGACTACAAATAAAACTTTTATCTTTCATTTCCCACCATCCACAAACATGCGTGTGCAACATCATAATATTGAACCAGAATTATACACCATTCAGCCTAAACAATGTTAATCTGTATTTAGAAAAAAACAAATTACTTGTAGAGACTGGCTGACTTGACCCTCAGACTGTTCTGAAATTTTAGCTCCAATTTTGGAAGTATGTTTGAGGAAAGAAACTTGTTTTTCCAACTGAGGTTTTAATGGAAGTATAGGACTAATTTATCCTATTTTGTTAGAAGTTTACTGGAGGGACTAAAGCATAATAGAGATATTTGCAGATAATAGATTAGAAGGAACAGCAAACATTAGTAATAACACACAGATAATTCAGCAGCAAATAGCCCCTTTCTGCTGAGCATTACTTTTACCATGCATAGATTATTTCAGCTCATTTCTGCAATGTATTAGCAAACAAGAATAAATTGAAGAGATGAGAAAAACCTCAAACCACCAAACAAGAGAGAGAACAGTGGAGTAGCATGGGCATGTTATTCTGCAGTAGTGTGAAACCAAGTACTGAGAGAATATATTTAGATTTTTCATTTAAATACACTAAGCTACAGAGACACTGAGCTCAAGAGACACTTATGAATCACAGTTGCTTTGGTGCTCTGGAAAGAGTAGGAAGTATGATTTTTATTTATTTCTTTTTTACTATGTTTTAGATTGTCCAGTCTTTACATGGATGTGTCTATGTAATATTACCCATGTTACATCTTGCAATAATTTATCCAAGACCTGCCTTCATAGACTTTTTTATTAGGTCTGACTGGAATGGAGTTAGCTTTCTTTATAGCAGCTTGTATGTTGCTGTGGTTTAGATTTGTAACTAGAATAGTGTTGATAACACAGCAGTGTTTTGGCTATTGCTGAGTAGTACTTGCACAACATCAAGGCCGCCTCTGTTTCTCACACTGCCCCAACAGCAAGTAGGCTGGGGGTGAGCAAGAAGTTGGGAGGGTACACAGCCGTGACAGCTGAGGGCAACTGACCAAAGGGATATCCCAGACCATATGATAACATGGTCAGCGAGAAAAGCTCAGGGAAAGGAGGCACGTTCGTGGTTATAGGTTTGTCTTCCCAGGTAACCATCACTTGTGCTGAGGCCCTGCTTTCCAGGAAATGGCTAAATATCTGCCCACTAATTGGAAGTAGTGAATAAAATCCCTATTTTGCTTTGGTTGCATGCACAGCTTTGCTTCATTTATTAAACTGTCTTGATGTCTACTCACAAATTTTCTGCCAGTTCTCTCCCCCATCCCACTGGCCATGAGTGAGTGAGGGGCTGGGCACATGTTTAGCTGCTACCTGGGGTCATCCCAACACAACTGTTTACACTCCTTAACGAAGACAGCATTATTTACAGGTATATCGCATACGTGATTATACAAGTTGAAAAATCTATTCTAACAACAGGAGAAAAATATTTTTCTTTTGGTATTATGAAATAGCTAGGTAATGAAACTTTTCATAAGTGTTTGAGTTTTATATAAGTAAGATTATGCTTTAGCTCATTCTTGAACAAGCAAAAGCTTAGGCCCAGGTGTTGCAAATCCTTCCCTCCACAGTCTCCCTATCATTTGCTGCCCTGTTAACTGGCATTCTGCACAAGATTTTCTGAGTACAAGTATCTCTTTGATCTACCTCAAAATGACAAACAAAGTATATCACACAATTTGTATGATTTTTTTTTCTTTTTTTTTTTTTTTTTTTTTTTTTTTTTCTATTAATGGTGGTGGGTTTTCTTGTTTTCCAGTGCCTGTCCTGGCTAGATTGTCTGTTTCTAGGAGGACATAAGGCAAGTACATTTCTAGGGTTAATACTTTCATTAACATGTACAATCCAAATATGCAACCCAAATTAATTTTTCTACTGAGAAAAAGGAAAAGTTCTGTACATAGACATATACTCTTTATTTTTCCTATATACCTCAGTTCTGGCATATTTTACCAGCATTTATGTATTTTTCTGTGCTTTTATTACAGGCTGTAGATTGCAATGGAAAAACATACAAACAAACAGCCACCTCCCCTCCTTCTCATAATGTGAGGAACATAATATGATTGTGAGGAGCTCCTATTTAGGAATTTAATTAGAAAAGTTTAACCTAAACATAACTAACTAGTTCTACTTAAAATGTTTAACATGACAAAAAGAAGATTAAGTGAAATGAAAATTATTAAAAGGAAATTAGCTCCCTAAATTGATACTGTTTCTACATCTTTGCTTGTGTGCTTCAAGCTAAAGAAAGATCTTTGTATATATATAACCATATACACACAAACATATATAAGATATAAATTATATATACACACACGGTGGTTTTTGCTTTGTTTTGAACATCATTTCATTGCATTTCTAACCAGAAATTATAAATTACCCTTCCAAACCTCAGGTAAAATTCCAAAGAATAGCACCTACCTCTGCAAATTGGCCTGTGGTCACTCCAGGCAGCCAGTGTATCTGTCACTCTCTGACAGGTGATGCTCTTAGAACCTTGCAGCACATAATTATCTTCACAGGAAAACTGTACACTCGCACCCACCCTAGGACAAAAATGGGAGGAAGAATGTAAGAATTAAAATAAATTTTAAATATCAACCTCCCCAAATAAATGTAATTGCCACCAAATGACAATATTTCTAGGTCCAAACAAAGAAATGAAGGTGGTAAATTCTACACCATCATTATTATATTAATAAAAAAACCAAATTATACTGCAGGGAACAGATCTACTCTTTAGTTTATCCACCTTTTAAAGAAGTAAGGCCAAGAATACAAAGCAATTGTGGTATTATGTTTGATCCTTTAAACTATGACTTCAATGAATATATATAGAGATATATTTTTTTTAAGAAAAAATATAATCACTGTTCTTTCAGGCAACAAAATTTACTTCATGAATAATTTCAACCTCTCCATATTCTCTTAAATGAGAGAATAAGCAGTTAGATATGGTAATTTGTCAACATGTATGACCAGGAAATATTAATTTCAGTAAATTTTAATGATTTATTGAAAATTCCTGACCTTGTTGAAATTTCCTATTAAAAATTACGCTAAATGATAACTGTTATTAGGACTGAAATTTGACTGTTACACTTGTAACTTTGAAATGTGTCTTTTGGGATGATTTATAACTTTTTTTTTTTAATAAATAATTTCTTTCTGAACAATGCTGATGAATATTTCTGAAGAATTAAAAAACTGTATATAGTTACTGTGTATCTCAAAGAGAGCTTTCCTAAACAGTATTTACATTTCTGCTTCCATTTATTATCTCTTACATTCTTTGTTCCCCATCATAATCAACCAGTTTTGTTGTTAGCTTTCTTGCACTTTTAAATCTGTATCTGATAATCCCATGGTGTGAACTAAGTGATCTTGATAAAGCAGATTTCTCAGTTTGGTCTTTCTAAGTCACTGAGTCCTAAACACCAGGGGATTGCTAGATGGCAGTCAGAAAGCTCAGTGGTTAAAATTGTGCTGTGGAGAATAGCAAATAGCCTCATTCACTAACGTCCAGCTCATTCCTACCCTTCAAGAACAAGTATTCTATTAGTTTCTCAGAGGATCTCACAAAGACAAACTATACTGTTTATCATTCTTATGATGTTCTTCTATAGTTCTTTCACAAAACTTGAATAAGATCCTTTTTCTTTCTTTTTTTTTTTTTTTTTTTTTAAATTTTAATGTGATGCTTCAAATCTAGGAAAGCTTTAAAACCTACTTTTCTTACCACTTGCTACTTGATCTGTTAAACATGCAAAAATCAGAAGGGTAGGGAAAATATTGGCCCTTTCCTTCAGTAGTTCATGGGAAATGTATGAAAACCCTGAAGAGTAATATCATTTTCTATACTGTATTCATTTTATATTTGTCATTATCTACTATCCTTCAGAACATTCTTAAAACCCTCAGAAAAATAGACCAAGCATGATTCCAAATACATACCTCAAATTAATAAACAGTTTCTCTTATTGGTAAAGAAAATATTATGATTAATTAATCTGACATTTTAATGCTCTGAACACATATTTTTGAATGTATTTTTCTCATATTTTGTAGCATTATGAGCTCTGAAAATTTGTTCTATGGGAACAGGAAAAAACAACCAGTTACCTAGTTGTGATAAATGTAAATTGAGAATTGAAGTATTTAAAAATCATACTGGATAAAGACTTTCCCCAAAGTATAATGATGTGTGAACCAACTTGAAAGCTTCAACGTTCCCCTGAAGTTTGCTACTATCAAGACATGTAAGGAAAATTACAAAACTGTGCACATACAAAAAATGAGAGTAAAATGAAATGTACAATTATTGGATGTCTGCAATTGCAATTTATAATTTAACATTCCTGATTATTCCCCCCAAGAAAGAAAGAAAGAAGGGGAAAAAAACCCAGGAGGAACACAAATATTCTGATGTCTGATGCAGTAAGTGAAGGTTTTCATGTTTAGACTGGGTTTTCATCATTACAGCAATATTTAAAAAAAAAATTATTAATGGATACATAAAATGTTACAAACTAATCTATACATTTAGGATGATTCAATTTGTTTCACTATTATTATACACAGTATATTGTATTTTCTTCCAAAGCTCTGGAAATAGCTTGTATCTAAGGACTAATAATGTGAACTTCATGTATTTTACACAGTGGATATCATCTTTTGAAATGTTTGATCACAAACTAAGTGACACAAAATAAATATGCTGACTACAGCATATGAAAAACAAACAAAAAATCTAGCAAAACTGTCAAATTAAAGAGCAAGGAAGGAACACGAAGTACTTAAAAGCTCCTTAGTGTTAGAATTTGGGGTGGAGAGAAACCTCAATGCTAGCTATAGGCATTGACAAGCACAATCTTTTGAAAGTCATTTCAAGAATTCTAATTAAACTTCAGGTGGGCTACAGAAGAGCAGTTATAGGTTTTACCAGAATGACTGAGATAGTTCTGGACATGATTTATGTGTGGCTACATTATATGCTAAGTCTGTTTTAATATCAGTTAAGATCCATCCTTTTTGAAGCACCTATTGTGAGAAATCAGGTTTATGCCATGAGTCTGACAACTGATACTTCCAAGAAAATAATTTCAATGTAATTTTAATTCTGCCAAGGCTTACAAAAGAAGGAAAAAAGTATTGAAAAGTTCTAAATACTGCCGTACTGTGACAGGTACCGACTGTCACACTATAATATATGTGAAGGAAATTAAAAGTTTGTGTAAGTAACTAGTTAATAATGAAATATTTGTGTATATATATATATAGTTGCTATATAATACATACATTGCAGATATCCGAATGAAACCATATCTCTTTAGATGTTTAAGAGAACAGTGGATGCTGAAAAATCTCAGGTGAGCTGAGTCACTAGAGTATTTCCTGTTACCAGGCAATCAGATCTAGCTAAACAAGCATCCTAGGGGAGGGGATGCACCTGGGCCACACAGACTGCAAAAAAAGTCCTTATCCTCTAAGCAATGTCCAAATTGCCGAGTCTCTTCATTGGTTCTGCTTGACATTTTTCCATTAAAAAAGGGGGCATCCTTTTAAAGCCATATTTTAACTTATTTGATCTGTGATTTCAAAGGAAATTATTACTTCATTAATTTCCAGTTGTTAACAATTAATATTTTTAATTTTTATTTTTTTCTTTTTCACATCTTTACCTCTCTAGTCACTGAGCAAATCTGCGGGCACTGGAAGTGTTTTGTTTTGTTAATTCTGTATGTAAACTTTCAACAGGGGGAAGAAATCAATTTCCTCTTTTTTCTTTTTCCATTTTAAATTTGAACTGTATCAAAGCAAAATCTGTGCTTTTATAAAGCAAGCTAGAATTTGACTGAAAGAAGGGATTTTTTAAAAAGAAAATAATTCTGTGAGAAATACTAAGCATAAGAAAGTTCCTTTAATTTTAAAAAGCTGTTTTGAAAATTTAAAAGCTATTTTTGTTACAAGTGTCAGTGGGATTGTGGAAAATGATTGTATTTTCACAGTACCACACATACCATGTAATATTTAAGGACAGCTGAAATGTTATTGTTTATATTCATTTTAGATTTCATTTAAACAATCTACTGTTTTGAGACCTCACATAAAAATAAAATGTGATATTTACCCCAAACTTGTATTGATTATGCTCTCTTTATCTAGCAAAGTCTGAGTTGCCGTTTTGCCCTCAAAATGAATCCAAATAGCCGCTGGATTTTTTTGAAATCACTGAAAATCACCTCCCCTACTTCCTGAACTGAACACAGTAAAAGTGTGGCAGGAGGACAGAATGAAAAGGTTAAGATTTCAATACCTTTTTGTTTGCTTTATGATATTAGAATGAATGCCATTATTATGCTGAAAGTGATGAAACCCTTTTCAAAGAACTTGTCATCCCTGAATCAGTTGGGTCTCAGGCTGTCTTGAAAATAAACCCTCTGCCTTTCCATCAATCCCACTCACAACATGTCTTTCAGCAGACTAGAAAAGATTTTGAATAATGTGCATTTTTACATGTTTTAGTTCAGATTAATATCCACAGTTGTCATTCTCCCCCTGACAAGAACAATAGCTCCTTCTGGTGTCTATACTTGCCTCTTAGAAAAGAAAAAACATTGCCTTTCTTTTACTCTCTGCAGTATTGTCATTACATTGGAGAAATGTAAGTAACAGCAAATATTATTTCCCTTCTCTTATGGAAGAGCTTGATTTGTCATTTCAGAGAAAGAAAAACTAAATTCTAGCCAAATTCTCTATTTAAATTTCAAGCTAGATATAGATAGCTAACTTTAAGATAGCTAAGATATGTTTTAAATAAGTATAAAAAAAGTTTACAGTACATGAAAAACAGTTGCTGTTGCATAATCAGTTTTGAGATAACAAGTAAGGTTTAGGAAAAAAATAAGATTTTATTATTTCTCTCAAATAATATTCAGAATTGGAGGCCCAAGACACGCACACAAATAACAAGTGATCGAAGTATACTAACGTGTTTTATCAAATCTTACATGATGTTGCTTGTGCTATTTTTTAACACCTTACACATTCATTCACCCCCATGAACAGCAACCTTCCTTCCTTCTTCATAAGGGTCCATTTGACCTCATCCTCTTTTTTTTAATGAATATCACAAAAGCTGAAAACAAAAAAAGCAAGGAGATGGTATTCATCACAGCCTCAGACACTGAATTTGCCATGTTTGCCGAGCTTTTTAACAACTTTTATATAGTGGGAAAACAGACAATTCTCTCTGCTGCTGCTTCTATGCTGTCTGGTGAGTTCTGCCTTTCCTACGCAAGATTATGATTCTCTAAAATTCCTATTTAAAATGCATTGATTTCAAAGAGAAACAAGCAAAACCAAGATATGAAATGGACTGTAGCTATTTTGACAAAGACTCGACACATTTGAAACTAGGGAAATTACATGTATTAGTTGCATGCTTTGTATGCATGTAACAGGAAATACCTCCTCTTGGACATACAGAAAACTAAACGTGCCTACCTGAAGTCAGAGCCCACCCTTTTCCCATTTTCAGGAATTCCAGGATCAGGACATGTATCAGATGCAATTGCATCCCCACCCTGGGTCACTGCAAAGTAAAGGAAAAAAAAAAATATTTAGATATGCAGCTGTAAAGATGACTCCTCACTTTTCCAATACATTAACTTCCACAGCCTGAATTCAACCATATGCATATTCATAATTTTTTCTTGGAACACTATAAATTATTACTAAAAAGAAGCCCCATATAATTGATTTCTTGGGTTTATTGTTTATTTCCTTTGGTTATGATAAAAAAAAAAGCATGTTTTGCTTCTGTGGGAAAATGAATGATTGATTTCCCATGGTCAGTCATCTTTTTATGGATATAGTAGGATCCATGGCTGTTCTCAGACAGGGAACACAACATTTCATGAAGTCACCTTCTGAAATATTCACAACACACCACTCTAAGATTAAGATAGTGTAAGAAAATAAAATCTCTTTTAAGCTTCTGTCCATAATAAGACTTGAAATAGACAAAAGTCAAGAACCCAACTGTAATACAGAAATATTTTTATGAAGATAAAGTTCATCTCAAAAATATACAGAAAACCCCATAAAGCAATGCATTTCTAACCAGCTCATGTTATGTGCTCATGCAAACAAGGCTCAAAATCTCTATTTTGTGCTTTCAGGTAGGAATAGAAAGAGAAGATATCCTATACTGTTTCATTCCTTTTGTCCTCTGTTCTTTCTTCCTCCAGACTGTCAGATATTTAAATAATACTAGGTATATAAATGTATAAACTTATAATCCTTTCAAAACTCAAAACAATTTGAGCATTCAATTTTCAGTTTTCTTCTTTTTCATTTGTAAAAAGGTATTTAAGGAATCTGTGGAATTAAAAGTAATTAATCATAAAGAAAATACATAAAGTAACAGAGCACAATAGTGTGACTATACAGAAAACCTGAATACACATATGCTTTCTATCCTGCACATATGCACAACTGTGTCCATGTGTATTTACACGTCTCCTGTTTTTCTGTTTCCTCCACAGATGAACAGAGCTAGTAGGAATTTGTGGATCACATCTTTCATCTTAAAAGATTTTTGGGAAACCATTAAGAACAGGGCAGAATGTTATCCCTGAATAATAATAATAAAAAAAAGTTGGAATATTTCAGCTGCACAAAATAAATTACACAAGCCTGAGTGGATTACAGATGACAGCATTACAGCTGAAAGGTGATGAGAGATCAGATGTAAAAAGTGGCTGGTTTTCCACACAGTGATATGCTTTCAAATTGAATACAGCAGCAGAGTATGGTGACAAGTGGGATACATACGATCAGATGGTAAGTGCTATAAATCTTTATGTCTGTTTTGGCAGCATCAGGGACAATTAATTTGTATAGAAATCCAAAGTTTTACAAGAGAAGATTTAAAGATATAAAAAACTCTATATACAGCACTACAAAAACATAACTAAGACAAAGCACTTGTAAGTACCAAAATACTTGACCTGAGCACAGATTCTTCTTAAAGTAGAGAAACTGCAACAATTACGGTATATTTCAACATTTGTCTACATTATTTTTTTTTTTATTTTGGCATATAGAATGTTTTAAAAATATAGGAAAGGAAAGGAATCATCTCTTTCTCCACATCTTTTTAACTTTACTTATTGCATTGTATACTGTTTGTCCCAGAAATCTCTCTTTAAAGAAGGTGAAGAAAGATTATGATAATTTCAGATATGTTTTTGCAGACACAGTTAAAAATATGATGTTTTACTTAAAAAAATATTTCCTGATAAATAAAAAAACCCAAAGCATGAGTAAAAATCCAGTTCAGCTGGACAGAAGTATAGCATCTGGAATTCACCAGCTTGAAAACACTCCAGACCAAGAGCCCAATCCTACTAATTTCACTAATATTACTTAGATTGATAAAAATTTTTGTGTGTGTGAATAAAGGCTTTCAGAACAAGTTTATACGAGCTAGTAAACATGTATTTTATTCTCTGAGAATTTAATTTTGTAGTTTCTTGAGAAGTGTCAGCATTGAAGTGCTGTTACAGTCAAAACGTGATCTTGCTAAAAAAGCAGCCTGCTTGTACACTGATGTTCCTTCAAATAAATAATCTTCCTACTAACATTTTTTTCCAGGAAAAACACCCACAAGTAGGTACTACTTTTAGCACAGAAGTGTAGCTTTGTTAGTGGAGGTGAGGTTCAGTTTTGACTACTGAATCACCAAAACACAAAAAATAAGCAATATGACTGATATAGTTATTCAACATATCAAGTTTACTAAACTTGAACCTTACAGTAACAACTGTAATACAAGGTGGAGAACACTGCCTTTGCTATCATGTTTTAATTGTAATGCAACTGTAGCATTGCAGTGAAGCTACCTCCTTTTACAGACATACATACAAAATGTGTAAGTATTTTGTTTGGGACACCAGTAAATGTTGACTGAGACCTTACTCATAGCACTGAACGAAGTGATCTCCCCAGATGGATGATGACCTCTGAAAAATTCTCTTCTCAGCCATGACCTTCCTCTGTCAACACACTCTCACACCAATATCAGGGAAGGGTGATTCAGGCTATCGTTTACCCAGAGAAATACTCTCTTGAAACAGAGCAGATATATGTCTGGAACTCGGCACATCTTCCTGGAGGTTTACGGGCCTTGTTAATCACGGCCCAGGTTTTAGCTTCCACTTTCCCCAATGAACTGTCAAGTGTTTTTTAACAGATGGTGGTTGCATGACATGCTGTCATAACAAAATAAATCCAACACCTGTAAAACAAGCCTGTCTGATTTTATCTTTCCAGATGGGAAAAAAGGAACAAATTTCTTAAATTAGTGAAACCATTTATTACCTTTAGTGCTTCAGGGACACCAGGGACTTTAGTGCATTTATAAATATATGTATATACTTTTACATGTTAATATGCTTAAAACCTTTACCTGCCAGTATTTTGGAATTTACCTAAAAATTAGATTTTAAGATTTTTTTAGCTCCAACATTTGTTATTATCCAGACTGAAAATAGATTACATGATGCCCAAGTGCATCCCTGTCAGAGACCTTTATCTTCCTCTGTTTCAATCCTGTCAGATTTCCCCTTTATCCACCACCACTATGAAGTATTAGCCACTGGTATTGAGATCCATAACGTGGGAGGAGAAAGTATCATCTTTGATTTGAGCATCTCACTTCTAGAATATGTTTAAACTTTGCAGTCTCATTCTGAAAGCATCTCTTAGACATGTCATCTACTATTCATCCAGTCACATGCCCAATCTTTCACTGTTATACCTTTAAAGAAAAAGACTTTTTTATGCCCTTGAAAGACCTGTCTTACCTGTTTGTACTCTTTCAAAATGACACTGTCTAAAGTTTCATTTACCTAGAGTGTTATAAAGTGTTTCATGCTTTTTGCATCTTTCTTCTGATTTCTCCTTTATCATACCAAACTTGCTTCTCTTTACTTTCAAAACTCACTCACAGACTATCTGTATTTTAACTATCATAATCTCAATTTTCATTTTAGAATTTTAAAATTTCAAAACAATGAAGGTATTAAGGAATATGGAAGGTTATTTTCCTATTTAAAGCTTGTAAAACTTAGAAATAAATATCAGTTATGCAGAAACTTTGGCACAGCTATGCGCTAATTAGTAGCATTTATCTTAAAGCACTAACAATGTTCCTCTGTATTGTGAATATAAACTAAACATTTATTTATAAACCTGTACTTGTGAGAAATAAATTTAGGACCAGTCTAAATAATACCATCCTCTCTTAATATATTCTTAGTACATTCTCAGTATAACCTCTCTGTTTTAAAAAGAATTTTAAGAGTATATAATCCTGGAAAATATTAAAGTAAGATACTGTTTTACATAGATAATTCTAAACACCATATCCCAGTTGCACACAGTTCTTCAAGGAACCATCAGCTAGAAAAAAAACGGTGTGTGTTCCATGAGACTAACATCTGAAAAACTATTTGAAATCACAGGGTAGGGAGAACAGTGAGGAAAGATTCTAGTCAGTTTTTGTTTTTTTTAGTATTAGTTACTGTAGAGTCTAACAGAACTCTGCCTTTCTCTTTTTAACAGAGGGTTTGAGAAGAACAAAGGTGCTTCAACCACCAGACATGTCTGTAGTATAGAGACAGAGCATTCTCAGTGGATGCAGCTTAACTCTGGAACTTCTCGACACGCCATGCTATTATATACTGCCAAACTTACATATTCTCACCCCTTTCTGCAGTAATAGTGGAAGAGAAGCTGTGAGTTCATTAACGTGATGGACAGCTTTTCAGTCTATATACAACCTCTATGGTTAAGACTGGTGATTTAAATTTCTATTTGATAAAAAATCTATTCTTTCTTTACAGACAAAGAATGAATCAATACCATTTCTTCCATTTCTCAGCTGGTATCATGCTGACTAGAGTTTCCACAGCTTTGGAGGTCATCTTTATTGTTTTACTTGGTATATGACACAGTAAGAACAGAACTCCTTTAGATGTTTCACATGTTCTAATGCAATAGTTAGAATCTTGTTTACTGCCAGAAGAAAGACTGGCAGTAACTGTAAACAGAAATCAGACCTTAAAAAGTTGTAATCATAATAATAAACAATTAGCAGATACATTAACATCCTAATTTAGCTCAGCATTTGGGAAGTGTTTAACTTTAATCAAGGAGCAATATTAGGCAGGAGGAAGGGATGGTGCAACATATGTCTCATGCAGCAAGAGAAGCAACATGAGCTCCCTTGTTATAATATCGGTTCTACTCCAGGCAAGCTGCCTTGCTTTAGATGCATTTGGAATCTGAATATACATTAATGATCTACTCATGCTCATGTAAAGCATGTGATGAAATGCTTTGAAGGGGTGGACTTTGAAACAAAAAAATTATTATGTATAGATGCATTGTACTGTCTATCTTTCTTCAGTAGCCATTAGGTTAGTAACAAATATTTGGTATTCATGCTTCAGCCTGCAACACCTACAGTTTTAAAGCTAACAATTTGGGCAGTCTGTTTGGACATTTACTCATTCTCGTAGTGAT